GAAAAGGGAAGATTACAAGGGAAGAAGAAGAAAGACTGGCCGAAAAACCTACAGAGGGAATGATCAAACTGCCCTAGTATCCAAAGGCTGCCATAATCAAGGGGATGGTTATGTGCAGTAAATGCCAGTGTGAGTGTGAGCTCGAGATTCCCTCGGCTGGAGTCCTCATTGATCACGAGTTAATCAAGAGGAAAGAAGAAGATACAAGAAGAGAAGCCCGCAAAAAAATTAAGCAGGCAACAAGGAAGGATACCTCCCGAAGCGTTTTTCAACGCTTAGGAGGTGATTCCTAACCCAAGGCTTTGTCAGAAGTGTTTCGAAACCATGAAGCTTCTGACGAGGCAAAAAAAATGGAGGCCAAAATCCAAAGAGGTGCAGATCATCCTCAGAATGGCCATAGGGGAGGGAAGTCAAGAGAATTGATGGGATAGCTAATCCCGGCAGAAAAGAGAATCCTGCACATCTTGGGCGAAAATGGTATGTAGTCGGGAAGAACGGACAGCCTACCAAACCGATGGGAGCCTCTATGATCAGGAGGGTTCAAAGGCAGCATAACGCCTACATGAATTCCTTGAAGACCCCCACTACCTCTGAAGCCTCAAAAAATCAAAAGTTGGAAAGAGCAATATCAGGAGGTAGTAGCCAGCTCCGTTGGTGAAGTAAGAAGGAGGTAGAGAAAGCCAATAGCAAAACAGAAGGTGTGGGGGATCATGTGCCGCAGAGCCAACATCCTGGAAAGTATAGGATCTTGAGAAGAGCTCAAGAAGATTTGATCATGGTACCAACTCCTGGGTGGAAGCCGGAGCCTATTCACATGGGAACTGTTGCATCTGAGAGAATACCACTTTCTCTGCCATTGGTGGATCCCTTTGGTGAAGTTCCAAAACAAACGCTGTACGAGGGCATGGATCAACCATAACAGGAAGGGATACCAGAACCACTGCTTCCAGCCGATGCGATGGCCTGGTTAGATGAATTCATGGACCAAATTGGGAGCAAGAAGGAGGATGTACTCGAGCCCAGTAATTTCCACATCAACATGGCGTATATATTATCTGCCACGTTTAATGCCAGACCTGATCAGCCTGCTACTATGGAGGGTGATTACTTAACAACGGAGCCAATGATGGCCTAAGTCAATGTGGAGATAGCGGAAGAAGAAGACTCGGGCAAGGTCGAGCCCTCAGAAGCATCCAAAGGTGGTCCTCTGAGGATTTACACAGACGAGATGGTGTTCAGCCGCCCGAGTATTTCGTTGGCCAACCATCTGAAGCCTATATATGTTTCAGCTTACTTAGAAGGTGTGCCCTTCAAAAGAATTTTAATTGATGGAGGAGCAGTTGTTAACGTGTTACCGGCCAAGCAGATGAGGAAGATAGGGAGAGGTACGGAAGATCTTATTCCCACGGACCTTACGGTCTCCAGCTTCTCAGGTGCTATCACTAAGACTCATGGGATATTACCTTTGGAGGTGGACTTGGGATCCAAAAAGATAATGCTGGTATTCTTTGTGGTGGACTGCACCTCCACTTACAGAGCCTTACTCGGAAGAGATTGGATCCATCAAAGTTTAGCCATACCTTCCACTCTTCATCAACAAGTGGCTGTATATCATAAGGCGGGTATTGAAGGACCAGGCTTTTGGGAGATAGTAGAGGCCGAAACACGGTCGTTCCTCCCCTCAGCCAATGTTGCGGAAGCAAGTTTCTACAATCCCAACGTAGGAATCTTGAAATGTTCATGAGCTGATAAGAACGGCCGCCCTACCAAGGTGACGGCCCAAAAGCTTCTGGAACAAGGAATACTCCTTAATAAGGAGGAGTGGGATAGACCCTGTCTCATACCAAATTCCCTACACCATCAATGACTGAACAAAAGAAGAAAGATCAGGTCATGGCAGTCAGATCCCTGATTAAAAGACTGTTGGTATATGGGAAGGGAAGAAGACAAGAAAGGGAGCAGGAAGAGCAAGAATGGCAGGAAGAAGCTTCAACCAGCCAGCATGGAAATAGAGAGGAATCTTGCAGTGAAGAACTGGATAGGGCCATTCAAATGGCCGAGTGCATATATGATCTAGATGGGCCAGACGACTTGCCCGAGAGCCCAGAGTTGGTCGAATTTTTATGTGCAGAACCTGATAAGCCATCACCTGAAGTTCAGGATCCTTTGGAAGTTATTGATCTAGGCACGGAGGAGGATCCAAGACCAATACAGATCAGTGGTTTGTTAGGGGTTGATGATCGGGCAAAAATTATTTGTCTTTTGCAAGAATTCAAAGACTGTTTTGCTTGGCATTATACCGAGATGCCAGGGTTAGATCCAACCTTGGTGGAACATAGAATGCCCATCAAGGAAGGATATAAACCGGTCAAGCAAGCACCACGGAGGATGTCAAAGGAGATAGAAGAAAAGGTCAAAGAAGAGATTGAGAGGCTAGTGAAAGCTGACTTTATCAGACCAGCCAAATATGTGGAGTGGTTGGCCAACATCGTACCCGTTTTAAAAGCTGTAACAAAAGCAGTACGATGTTGTGTCGATTACAGAAATATTAATGGCGCTACACCAAAGGATGAGTACCCCATGCCCATGGCTGATTTATCCATAGATGCAGTAGCAAAGCATAAAGTTTTATCTTTTATGGATGGAAATGCCGGATATAATCAGATAAAGATGGCTCCAGATGATATTCATAAAATAGCTTTTAGGTGTCCTGGTCATGTGGGGGCATATGAGTACCTGGTCATGCCATTCGGACTCAAGAATGCTGGCGCAACATATCAAAGGGCAATGAATGCCATTTTTCATGATCTAATTGGCCAGAGCATGGAGGTATATATCGATGACATCGTGGTGAAATCTAAAACAGAAGAACAACATCTAGTAGATCTCAGGCAAGCATTGATAAGGATGCGGATCCACAAATTGAAGATGAATCCAAAGAAGTGCGCATTTGGAGTAAGAGCGGGCAACTTCTTGGGATTCTTGGTGCATCAGAGAGGTGTGGAGGTGGACAAGAACAAGTCTCGGGCAATATTGGAGTCACCTCCACCCACCAACAAAGTACAGCTTCAAAGGCTACTAGGCAAAATCAACTTCTTGAGGAGATTCATTGCCAATTTAGCGGGCAAAATCCAGCCGCTAACTCCTCTACTAAGATTGAAAGATAAAGAGAATTTCGAGTGGGGGCCGACCCACCAGCAGGCATTTGACAGCATCAAGGCCTACCTAACTTCTCCACCAGTGCTGGTACCACCTCAAAGGGGAAAGCCCTTGAAGCTGTATATTTCTACTTCGGAGAAATCAATTGGGAGTTTGCTAGCCCAAAATAATGAGGGTGGGAAGGAATAGGCCGTATATTACCTCAGCAGAATTTTGACCGAGGTAGAAACAAGATATTCTCCGGTGGAGAGATTGTGTTTGGCTCTATATTTTACTGCCAGCAAGCTAAGGCATTATATGTTACCTTGTCACGTGCACATCATTGCCAAAACAGATGTGATAAAGTACATGTTGTCAAAACCTATGCTAGCAGGAAGGATTGGGAAGTGGATTCTAGCACTGTCAGAATTTAGCTTTCAATATGTACCCCAAAGGGCAGTCAAAGGCCAGGCAATTGCTGACTTCTTGACCGAGCATCAGGAACCTCAAAGTGAGGTAATCAATATCCCGGGAAGTTTGGAGGTTACTAGCGTTTGGATCCCACCAAGGAGTGATGTTTCGGGCAAAGAAGATTGGATCCAGCAAGAGATAAGAAGAGTAACGGGCCTCTGGATTACTCGTTGGAAGCTGTATTTCGATGGATCTCACACTCATAAGGTTGCAGGGGCTGGGATTGTGATTAGAAATCCTCAAGGGGTTTATCATTATTACTCATTCCTGCTCGATTACCAAGAAAATACTAATAATCGGGCAGAGTATGAGGCCTTGATTATTGGTCTAGAAATCCTGTTGGATTTGGGGGCAGTAGAAGTAGAAGTCTTTGGTGATTCAGAGTTGGTAATAAACCAGCTAAATGGCGAGTTCAAGTGCAGACATATCACTATGGCGGGGTACTATATGGCAGCAACACAATTGTTGAGTTTCTAGGAGTCTGAAATATCAGTCAATCATATTCCTAAAGGGTCTAACTTAGCAGCCAATGAAATGGCGCAACTAGCCTCAGGAGTGCCAATAAAGGAAAGAAAGTACGGGATAGATGTCGAGATCCAAACAAGAAACCTTCCTTCCATCTTAGACAGGGGATTTAGTTTGGATGTAATGGTTCTAGAAACCAAGATGGAAGATTGAAGGGCACCCATCATTCATCATTTGAAGGATCCGTCTTCACCTACAAGTAAGAAGAATAGGCAGCAAGCAACCAAATATGTCTTATGGGCGAAGAACCTGCTAAGAAAAACCCTAGATGGATTACTGTTAAAATGCTTAGGCCAGGAAGAATCCATGAGAGTGATGGCCGAAGTACATTAGGGAATATGTGGAGCACATCAAGCAGGGACAAAGATGAGATGGCTACTCAGAAGGTACGGTTATTTCTGGCCCGACATGGAAAAAACTGCAAGTCTTATGCCCGCGGTTGTGAAGAATGTCAAAGGCATGGACCTCTCCAACACGTGCCTTCAGTGCCTTTGAATCCAGTGGTCAAGCCTTGGCCATTCAGAGGATGGGCGATGGACTTCATCGGGCAAATTTATCCAGCTTCTAGCAAAGGGCATACCTTCATAATTGTGGCAACGGATTACTTCACCAAGTGGGTGGAAGCATCAGCAGTAAAATCCATAACTTCCGCTGTAGTCAAGAATTTTATCGAGACCAAGATCCTGCACAGATATGGGGTGCCCGAGACTATAGTAACGGACCGTGGGCCATCTTTTATTTCAAAAGAGGTCGAGGAGTTTGCAAGCAAGTACAAGATAAAGATGATCCAATCCAGTCCGTACTACCCTCAGTCAAATGGGCAGGCCGAAGCTAGCAACAAGATCCTGGTCAACATTATTAAAAGGATGGTGATAGATGGTCCAGAAAAGTGGCACGAGATGTTGGGGAATACGTTGTGGGCATACAGGACTTCCAAAAGAGTGGGGACAGGCACAACTCCTTATGCCTTGACGTTCGGACAAGATGCAGTGCTCCCCATGGAGATCAACGTTAGTTCCGTAAGAATTCAAAACCAATTTGGGTTACATGGTGCAGAATATATCGAAGCCATGTGTCAAGGTATTGAAGACTTGGATGCAGCCCGAAATGAAGCCTCGAACCAGATTCAAGAAGGAAAGATAGTTGTTGCCCGAGCTTATAACAAGAAGGTGAAGGTAAAGTCTTTCAAAGAAGGAGATTTAGTATGGAAAACAGTCCTCCCGCTGGGAGCTCAGCTTCGGGGTTTTGGAAAGTGGAGCCCGACATGGGAAGGTCCTTTCATTATTAGTCGAGTTTTGAATAAAGGAAGATACTACCTAGCGGACCTCGACGGAAATGGGCAGAAACATCCCATTAATGTTAGATTCTTAAAAAAATATTGTCCTACATTATGGGATGTTAGGGATTGTTACATTGAAGAGGGGGCAGAGTGAAACGAGCTTCGGGAGCTTCATATGCAGTGTTTTTTGTTCATCAAACATTCAAATAAGGCAGAAAGACAGAAATTGCTAAATAGTATTTATTTCATGTCGACAAATTGATGAAATTTACAGAGTTCCAATCCTATGTATTACATTTGATTCTCTCTGAGGATGGTGGTGTCTTCAGCTGGTTTCCCGATGTCTTCATGGATGGGACCCAATCGGGTGATCGGGTTGTGCGGCCAACATGGGCCTCGTAGAGGATCCTCCGACGGGGCTGTCACCATATGTGATGGTGAAGCCCAACTTATCGCCGCAAGTTGCGGGAAGACAAGCCATCAAGAGGAAGCCGCCTGACCAAGGGTGTTGGAGATAGAGTGGTGGTTGACCAAGGGTGTTGGAGATAGCAGTCATCAGGTGAAACCTCATTTTCTCGCGAAAGGGGAGTTTTAGGAAACTCCATTCAAAACCTGAGGAACCCATTTCTCAGTTTCTAAAGGAAAACAAGAACGCTCAAGATGGATGGAAGTTAAAGGCCAGAGCCAAAGGGGATTTGGTAGTTTGATAGGAGAAGTCCCGAGCTAGATTTTATAGGGCCCAAAGGACAATTCAAGAGTCGTGAGAAGAGCAAGGGGCACCGGAAGCACAAATTCCCAAGGACGAATATACGTGCATGCGGGTATTCAATCAATGTCGACGCCTGGGATTCCAACCTTCACATTAATTGAAGGGGGCACTGTTTGGATTAAAACTTGATTTTTGGCCCAAGGATGGAGTCGGCCCAAAAGGAGGCCTGGAGGAATAGAAGATCAAGGCCCGGCCGAAACTGAAGAAAGCAGGAAAAGGCCTTTTCTGACTCAATACAATTCATAAGGGCCACTTGCCTACCTACCCAAGGACCAAGTGGTGTAGACTGATCAGACTGCACAACCCATAAAGTACTTTATGGTGGCATTATATGTAATAAAGCTGATGAGTCATCACCCTCAGACCGCATTCGGGCAAAGCTGTCGCTACAGGAGCCAAACCGAGTCGTCTATAAAAGGAGGAAGATAAGACAGGAATAAGGACACTCAAAGAAACAAACAAAAGCACAAACTCTGCTCAAAAAGCCAGATTTGCCTTTCAAAACGAAGCTGTAGTCAGCCCAAGCCTTCATCCCCCGCGGGATAATCTTTTCTCCCAACCTCTGTAATAGCTCTGCTACCTTGTTCTAACTTGTTGTAGTATCGATTCACCTTTTGTATTCTCCTTTCCCCTCTCCCCCTCTAAGCTTTCAGACCTTTGACAGAACTACAAAGATAGGGACCTGCAAGACGATCAGCCTTAATTGATAAGGTTTAATCTTGCCCGACCTGCTTTGCTCTGTCTTTGTCTTCTCTTTCTTTAAAGTCTAGCAGTATGTTGTATATTTCCAGTTATATGCAAGTTGTTTCTAGCAAAATCACGATGACAAAGCTTTCTCAGTACTTGGATCCGATTTAAATATATCTTCAATGCTTAAATCAGATCCAAGTCCTAAGCCCGCAGGCATGTAAATCTGATTAGTTTAAAAGTCCTTGGCCTCAAGGCATAAAAAAGAACTTTATGTGGATTTAACCCATCCACGACGATCCTTGATAAACGAGAAGTCCGAAGTTACTTGGGGCGCAAGTAATCGACCTACCTCTTGGTTTTATTTCTATTATATCATGATTATCATAGAACGCTTAAGTATGGAATGGATTCTGATAGGAAGCCTCAAGGTCTACACCTAAGGCCCCACAAAGGCACTTATTTGGATTCATTCTATTCTGCGGTCTAGATGGTTTGAGTATAAGAACGAACTCTAATGGGAAGCCTCAAGGCCTACACCTAAGGCCCTACAAAGGCACCCATTTGGGTTCGCTCTACCTCTCAGACTTGGATAATCAAAAATATAATAGTTATAAGACTCCGACAACCATAAAGACCAAATATAATATGCTCAAGTACTGGTTTAGTTTGACAGGAAGCCTCAAGGCCTACACCTAAGGCCCCACAAAGGCACTTGTTATATCTAACACGGTTTCTCGGGCATATGCATATTCACAACTAAAACTTGACATCCATTCGACATCTGCCGTATTGAAGATGGCAGTGGCACGCTTGAGCACCTAAATGTTAACCTTGATTGCGAGCCTTAAGGCCTACACCTAAGGCCCCACAAAGGCACCTCTCAAAGTTAACGCTGTCCTTCTCTTTCAGCCTTACCCGAAGAGTCTTGCCCGACGAGACTTGCCCGACAAAGCCCGACGAGAAAGCAGAAGGCCGACAGCAGCCCTCAACCGGCGCCAAATCTCCCAGGGGAGCTGTGTGCTCGTTGGCCAGGAAGTCATCCCCGACGGAAATTCCTGCCACGAACAAATTCCTTGCATAGAATATATAGAGGTTTGCCATCTCTTGGAATCGAACTATATCATCATGATATGAACAGAATGCATCCATATTTAAGACTTTTAACAAATCAATCCTTTCACTCAACCTCTTGTTGTTGGAAGCATGTATAAAATCCAACCAAACTGGATTGTGGAATTGAAACTTAGCAAAAGATTCCACCACCTCTGTCAAAATACTTGTCATCGTTTGTTTTCTTGTGCGTCCAATTTTGAATTCCAATACTAGATTGTTGTCATCATGAACTTCTTTGATAGACTTCAAATAGAAGTATTGATGAACCACTCCAAGTTGTAAAGAAAACACTTGGCCACCAGTGCCCAGATTAATTATAGCCTCATCAACACCATCATCAGACACAAAATCATAATGACACATTCCACAACAAATTTCACAAGAGCCATCTGGACAACAATCAAATTTTGGAGGAAGATCAAGATTTATGAAGTATTCACTCCAAGTTGTAAAGAAAACTCTTGACCACCAATGCCCAAATTAATTATAGCCTCATCAACACCATCATAAGACATAAAATCATAATGACACATTCCACAACAAATTTCACAAGAGTCATCTGGACAAGAATCAAATTTTGGAGGAAGATCAAGATTTATGAAGTTTTCACCTCAAAATTCTGAAGCAACCATTTCTTCGACTTCCGTCTGTAAAACATACTCAGTCTCAGTTACTGGCAGTAGTGACATGCTTTAGTAAAACACAAATATTGTTTTGCCCAAGTAATGGATTGGAGAGCCGCTTGATGATTTGAAACAAGACTGGAAGGGCTTTCCAATGATATATTGCTTGATTGTCGAGTAGCTTAATGAACTCGAAACTCGGCCCGCAACAGAGATGATCTACTAGTTTCGCGTGGCACCAACACTCTGTGGTGTTTTGCAAATATCTGTTCACACAAAACTCCGTTTAATGCACGGTTTGTTGGGTTGGAAACAAGACTCCCTGAGCTTTCCGATGATGTATTGTCAGTTTGGATTCTTTGTCTCAAAAAATACAGATTTTTTTATGAACTTGACTTTCGTAGTTGGAACTCGAACTGATGTCGTTACCCTTGATATAGCGTCATCCCTTGATCGAGCTGACGCTCTGATACCAAGTGATGCAGGGCGCAGTGGACAGAAACGAATTAAAATGATAGATAGAATGGATAGGTAGGGTTCGCTATCTCCTAGTGCAAGGAGAGACTTGAAAACCCTATAAAATTTAGTTCTAGTACCAGCTTACGACGTAGACACTAGAAACAAAAATTGAACAGTCTCACAAAGACAAAGGCACAAAATTGAAACAGAGAAACACTCTGAGTATTTTCATTAATAAAAAAAACGTCCATCTCCATCTTGCAAAAAAAAATGGTTTTTATAACCATTTTGTAACTTACATTCAGAAATTAAGAAGGCAATAAACATAATAACACCTAAAACTGAAAATTACATAAACAAAGGCTATTATCAGCCATAAAAACACCCTGGCTGTTATGATTAGTCATATAAAAACGTCTTGAAATTAATCTTACCAATCATTTGTATTAAAGCATCCTCTTTATTTCAGCACATAAATCTGTCTTCCAATAATTTATGGTGCTCCATGCCAAATCATTTATTCCCATCCTGTATGACACCATTTGAGAGTTTCTTCGTTGCTCTCCAGTTAATCTTTGGCGTATAATGCATTTCAAATCACCAAGGAATATCGATCAGGATGTATTTTTTTGCATGTCGTAAGGGAGAAGAAAATGTTACCATTTGGGGGTCATAATGTGCAAAAGGAGCATCTCTTGGGTCGAGCAAAACCGCATTTGCTGATTTTTATCAAGTGCAGATGTCAATGGAACTCGTGGTAATCCCAAGGGATTTCGGGGCTTGCGCAAGTCAATAGAAATAAATGGGAGCATTTTTGCCCACCAGTATGACCCATGATATATGTCTATTATAAATTTTATCATCTGTTACGTGTTTATTCACTTAGTTCTGATTAACTTTCATATGAAATGTTTCTTTTCCAAATTTTTTAAAAAAAAAGTTAATCAAAATTAAGTAAAAAGACGCATGATGGTAAGTAACAATGCTCTCAATTAAAATTCTCTATGGCGAAGAAAAATACTGATCAAGTTACTAGGGCTAGTCTAGCCGTGAAGATAAGACAGAATGATGAAGAAGTAGGTTTGGTGGAAGATTCAAAAACTCTCTATTATAACTAAAAATTAATAATAAATATAAAAACTGACTATGTTGCTTTTTTATTTTTATTTTTTTAATTATAATTATTATTATTGTGGGAAGGAAATGATTCAAAATTATTACAACAATTAGAAAATGCGGAGTTTCGAATCCAGAATGTTTAGGTGGAACTCAACACTCTATCTACTAGAATATTAGACCACACGCACCATATCAATCGAATTATCGAAGTCTATTTCTACAAGACATAAAAATACTTGAAATTGAAAATTATGGTGTCTTTATCAAATTATTGAAGTCTATTTCTACATGCATGAATAAGAAAATTGAAAATTGTAGTGCCTTTATTATTATTTTTTTCTATTTCAATGCACTTCCTCCTAATTCCACTGTTGTACGTGAAAGTACATGTATGCCAATAACTTAATAACAAAAATAACCCTTATTACTATTAAACCCATAGACTCACAATTGCATGAGTTCCAATAAAACTATAAAAGGACCTTCTTAGTTGTTACAATCTTGTGAAGCCTACCCACCAACCAACATTCTGAAATTTTCATGTGAAGTACTCGAATTACATATGGCTGTAAAGACAGGGTCTCAAGATTTTGGTTTAATAGTCCTTCTCCTTTTCATGTTGAGTTTTAATCTTCTTGGATTAATGAAAGCTCGGCGATTAACCGATCATACAGGGACAACGGATAGTTTGTCAATTGGGATGATGAAGTATTCAGGACCAAGCAA